CGGTGGCTGTGGCTGTGGTCACCTTTTCCGAGAACATGACAGTTTCGATGATAAAGCAACCGCACAGACACAGTCAGTCAGTGACACTGGTCGGTCGCCCTGGGGTCGAGGGTCAGAGCGAAGGCAGGCGGGTCGACGGAGGTATTCGGTGGTGGTGGTGGCGGCGGCAAGGGCAGCATCAAGGTGTACATCAACAGTCTGCTGCTGCTAATGGTTCTGCAGTTGAGCAGCTTGAACAGGAATGAAGCAGGCGCTCACCTTCCCTACCATGGACAAGTGAATCGCGTGACATGCACTTGCTTGGCTAGCTGCCGGCAGACTAACTCTGCTGCCACTGGCCCTCGCCAACTGGCTAGTCAAGCCAGTTGGCGCACCATTCAAACCTGCCGGGTGGCGCCTATTCCCTGCTTCAGCCGCTGCTAGCGGACTGTCAGACGACGAGGCGGCCACAGTGTCCGCTGGTGAAGTGGAAAAAAGTGTGGCCAGCTTACAGTGTGCCTGCTGAAAGCTGAGAAGACACCGACAGTGGCATCTTTCGCCGCGTAAAGAAGATGCGGCTCGGCGTAAGTATGTGCCATGAGGTATCTTATTTAAGGCCTCTTGGAGGTTAGAAAGAAGACAAGAATGACTTTGATGAGAATTACTCTACAAAAATACTACTAGCAAACACAAACAGTCGGCTATAGAAAAAGGCAGCTAGTGCTTCTAAACAAAGATTGTAAACAGCACTGACGGGTCAGTTTTTCAGCATATCACGGGTGATAACGCCATTTGAAGGCTTAACGTTTCGTGATATCTCGGAATCACCAACTTCGTGAAAGTTGGTTTTAGCTAAATCAACCAGAGACTGAAATGATAATAAAAGGCATTAGAAGCTGATAACTTTCAATCCAAGTAATTCACCTCAAAGGTGCGAGGTTCATAGGTGGCCAACAGCGNCTTAACGTTTCGTGATATCTCGGAATCACCAACTTCGTGAAAGTTGGTTTTAGCTAAATCAACCAGAGACTGAAATGATAAAAGGCATTAGAGGCTGATAACTTTCAATCCAAGTGATTTACCTCAAAGGTGCGAGGTTCATAGGTGGCCAACAGCGATAGTGACTTGCGACTAAGCTCAATATTAGNATTCACCTCAAAGGTGCGAGGTTCATAGGTGGCCAACAGCGATAGTGACTTGCGGCTAAGCTCAATATTACACTGAAAACAAAAGGTAAAATATGATTGTATCATTCAGGAAAGCATCCGCTATCAAGTACCTGAGTGAGCGAGGTGAGAAAATACTCCATCTTAAAGTCGTGCTCTTCCACCGATGCCAGTAATCGTTGCGCATAGAGGTCCTTCAGATGTTCAGCCCGTCGCTGTCGGTATTCAACTTTGTACTCCATTGTCTTTCGCCACTTACGAATTGCATTACGCCAAGTGTTTCGGCTTAACCCGTAAAAAGTCTGGAAATTCAAAATAATGAACAGAATGAGAGATCAACTAAATACACAGTATAAACAAAAGGCCTTACCCCGGTCAATCTAAAGAGAGCTTGTCGACGAAAGAACACACTTCGAGCCTCAGGTCGTCGCACGTACACTGGCATGTACTTCATGCAGATTTGAGTTAGATTGACCATCTTTTTCCGTTAGAGTTTGGCTACAGTTTTGCTCCAGAAAACAGTCGGGCAAAGTGAATGTGAAAACAAACTGAAAAATGCTTGTCACATGTTTTTGCACGCTATACGCACCCAAGTAGGAGCACCCAAGTCGCTCTGTTTTTATTTTTGAAACAAAATTCCGGATTCCGAATGACTAAATGATTCTTTATCTTCAGATTTTATTTTACGTGGCAATACTGTTAAATAGTCAAAAAAGATAAATGTTGAAAGTTAAACCAAACGATAGATGATAGGATAACACAAAAACAAGGAAAACAATCTATGTTTACATATTATCAATAAGTTTATTTGGTTTTTACATGTTGTTAAAAATTAAATAAAAAGGAATCTAGTAAGCATAGCAAGAGACAAAATCATCTTCTGATGGAGAATTTAAATAATAATGCAAGAATCCAGTTAAAAAGATCCACCACGCAGAGCCAGTACAAGATGCAACACAGAGCCGCCGGTAACTTTGTAGTCATTTGCAGTGCGGTCGTCGTTCCTAGATGATTCGCCAAGTTGTAAAGTTAAAGCAATTAATCAGTTAGTTGTTGTGAACGAGTACACATCATCCGCATCAATGCAATTTTCAAACATACATTTGCTTGCCACTGAAAATGA